CATCCACCTGTGTGTTGCGTGGCAGGTGTGGCACCTAATTATTTGTCACATGCCACTTTGTCACACACACACACAACTTTGTCACACATCATCTTTCACACAGATTTGGTTGAGTGTTGATGCGGTTTGGTCACACACACAACTTTGTCATACACAACTTTGTCACACATCACTTTCACACATCATCGTTCACACACAACTTTGCCACCCACTATCTTTGACACACCACCATTTTTCACACACCATCTTTCACACACCACTTTGTCACACACCATCTTTGTCACACACCATCTATCACACACACCATCTTTGACACACCCTCTTTGACACACCATCCTTCACACACCACTTTGTCACCCAACATCTTTGACACACCATCTGCACACCATCTTTCACACACCACTTTGTCACCCACCATCTTTGACACACCATCTTTGACACACAGCTTTGTCACACAGCATCTTTCACACACCACTTTGTCACACACCATCTTTCACACACCATCTTTGACACACCATCTTTGACACACCACTTTGTCACACACACACACACACCATCTTTGACACACCGTCTTTCACACACAACTTTGTCACACACCATCTTTCACACACCATCCTTCACACACCATCCTTCACACACCACTTTGTCACCCACCATCTTTGACACACCACCTTTCACACCACTTTGTCTCACACTATCTTTCACACACCATCTTTGACACAACATCCTTGACACACCAACTTTCACACACAACTTTGTCACACACCATCTTTCACACACCATCCTTCACACACCACTTTGTCAGACACCATCTTTGACACACCACTTTGTCACACACCATCTTTCCCGCACCATCTTTGACACACACACACACACACACCATCTTTCACACACCATCTTTCACACCACTTTGCCACACACCATCCTTCACACACCACTTTGTCACCCACCATCTTGACACACCATCATTGACACCACTTTGCCACACACAATCTTTCACACACCGATACAGACCATCTTTCACACACCGCTTTGTCACCCACCATCTTTGGCACACCATGTTTCACACCACTTTGTCACCCACCACCTTTGACACACCATCTTTCACACACACAACTTTGTCAAACATCATCTTTCACACACAACTTTGTCACACACCATCTTTCACACACCATCTTTGACCCACCATCTTTCACAAACCACTTGGTCACACACCATCTTTGACACACCATCTTTGACACACAACTTTGTCACACACCATCTTTCACACACCATCCTTCACACACCACTTTGTCACCCACCATCTTTGACACACCATGTTTCACACACAGCTTTGTCACCCACCGTCTTTGACACACCATCTTTCACAAACCACTTTGTCACCCACCATCTTTGACACACCATCTTTCACACAACTTTGTCACATACCATCTTTCACACACCACTTTGTCACCCACCATCTTTGACACACCATCTTTGACACACCACCTTTTACACACCTCTTTGTCACCCACCATCTTTGACGCATCATCTTTCATACACAACTTCGTCACACACACACACAACTTTGTCACACACCATCATTCACACACACCATCCTTCACACACCACTTTGTCACCCACCATCTTTGACACACCATCTTTGTCACCCACCATCTTTGACACACCACCTTTGACACATCGCTTTGTCACACACCATCTTTCACACACCACTTTGTCACCCACCATCTTTGACGCACCATCTTTCACACAGCTTCGTCAGACACAATCTTTGACACACACACACACACCATCTTTGACACACCATCGATCACACCATCCTTCACACACCACTTTGTCTCACACCATCTGTTACACACCATCTTGACACACCATCTTTGACACACCATCTTTCACACACCATCATTCACACCACTTTGTCTCACACCATCTTTCACACACTACTTTGTCACCCACCATCTTTCACACACCATCATTCACACCACTTTGTCACACACCATCTTTCACACACCGTCACCATCTTTCACACACCGCTTGGTCACACTCACCATCTTTGACACACCATCCTTCACACACCACTTTGCCACCCACCATCTTTGACACACCATCTTTCACGCATCACTTTGTCACCCACCATTTTTGACACACCATCTTTCACACCACTTTGTCACACCACAATTTCACACACCGCTTTGTCACACACCATCTATCACACACACCATCTTTGACACACCATCTTTCACACACCATTTTTGGCACGCACCATCTTTCACACACCACTTTGTCACCCACCATCTTTGACACACCATCTTTGACACACCAGCTTTCACACACCACTTTGTCACCCACCATCTTTGACGCATCATCTTTCACACAACTTCGTCACACACAATCTTTGACACACCCTGTTTGACACACCATCCTTCACATACCACTTTGTCACCCACCATCTTTTACACACCATCTTTCACACCACTGTGTCACCCACCATCTTTGACACACCATCTTTCGCACCACTTTGTCCCACACCATCTTTGACACACCACTTTGTCACACACACACACCATCTTTGACACACCATCTTTGACACACCATCTTTCACACGACTTTGTCCCACACCATCTTTGACACACCATCTTTGACACACCATCTTTGACACACCATCTTTGACACACCACCTTTCACACACCACTTTGTCACACACCATCTTTGACACACCATCTTTGACACACCACTCTGTCACACACCATCTTTCACCACACCACTTTTTCACACGCCATCTTTCACACACCGCTTTGTCACACACCATCTTTCACCCACCATCTTTGACACACCATCTTTCACACCACTGTGTCGCACACCATTTTTCACACACCATCTTTCACACACCACTTTGTCACACACCATCTTTCACCACACCATCTTTCACACATAACTTTGTCACCCGCCATCTTTCGCCACACCATCTTTCACACACCGCTTTGTCACCCACCATCTTTCACACACACAACTTTCCAGATAGGTTTCCTCACGGCCCTGCGGGCACACGGACACACGGGCACGCGGCCGATCCACGGGCACACGGGCACACGAGGAATCCACGGGCACAGGCACACGGGCACACGGGCACACGGGCACACGGGCACACGGGCACACGGGCACACGGGCACACGGGCACACGGGCACACGGGCACACGGGCACACGGGCACGAGCAATCCACGGGCACACAGGCACCCGGGCACCCGGGCACACGGACACACAGCCAAATCACGGGCACACAGGCACACGGGCAATCGACCGGCACCCGGGCACCCGGGCAAGGGCCCACAGTCAATCCACGGGCAGGAATCAAAGAAACTCAGGTAACATGACGGAAAAATAACAACATTGCGGCGGAATAACGGCGAGCCCACAAAAAGGAATCTACGGTAGACGGAGCCAAAATGACACATGTGGAAATTAACTTGAGATCAAGGCAAAACAACGACATTAAGCTGCACGCAAACAGCACGGCAAGGACGGCGACATGCCATCTACAGCAGACAGCGCCGAAACGCCGCATGTCGACATTAATATTAGATCAAGGCATCACAGCACAGCGGAACGAAGTTGCATGCAAACAACAAGGCAACCACATGGTCATGCAACAAGAAGGAACGTCAAACAAACACCAAGGTCTACAACGACGGGCAACGAGCTCATGCTGCTATGACATCACGCTGCGGCAACAGACAGACAGACAGACAGACAGACAGACAGACAGACAGATAGATAGATAGATAGACAAACAGATAGTTAGACAGACGGACAGACAGACAGACAGACAGACAGACAGATAGATAGATAGATAGATAGACAAACAGATAGTTAGACAGACGGACAGACAGACAGACAGATAGATAGATAGACAAACAGACAGACAGACAGACAGACAGATAGATAGATAGATAGATAGAAAGAAAGAAAGATAGATAGATAGATAGATTAGTTAGATAGAGAAGATAGATAAGATAGATAAGATCGATAAGATAGATTAGATAGATTAGATAGAGTAGATAGATAAGATAGATGAGATAGATAAGATAGATAAGATCGATAAGATAGACAAGATAGATAAGATAGATAAGCTAGATAAGCTAGATAAGATAGATAAGATAGATAAGATAGAAGGATAGCTAGATAGATAGATAGATAGACAGATAGATAGATAGATCGATAGATCGATAGATCGATAGATCGATAGATCGATAGATCGATAGATCGATCGATAGATAGATAGGTAGGTAGGTAGATAGATACATAGGCAAAAGGATAACTGGATAAGTAGCAAGGGAGAGGAGGAATCTACGGTAGACGGAGCCAAAACGACACATGTGGAAATTAACTTGAGATCAAGGCAAAACAACGACATTAAGCTGCACGCAAACAACGCGGCAAGGACAGCGACATGCCATCTACAGCAGACGGCGCCGCAACGCCGCATGTTGAAATTTACATAAGATCAAGGCATCACAGCGCAGCGGAACAAAGTTGCATGCAAACAACAAGGCAACCACATGGTCATGCAACAAGAAGGAACGTCAAGCAAACACCAAGGTCTACAACGACGGGCAACGAGCTCATGCTGCTATGACATCACGCTGCGGCAACCGGTTGACACACAGACAGGCAGACAGACAGACAGACAGACAGATAGGTAGATAGATAGATAGAAAGACAGACACACAGACATATAGATGCATAGGCAAAAGGATAAATCAATAAGTAGAAAGGGAGACGGAGATACAGATAGAGACCGAGAGCGCGAGAGAGAGAGAGAGAGAGAGAGAGAGAGAGGGAGAAAGAGAGATCAATACACAGATAGACGGGCACACGGGCACATATCAGTCCTAGGACATCGCCATGACATGCCAGTTGTGAAGTTTTAATTACCAATCAAACATGCCTAGCTGGAACATCCACTGTGTACTGCGGAGTCGATTGAAGTTGGTGTCAATGGAGAGGAAAATGATGATGTTGATGTGGAGTAGGAAGATGTTGATTTTGAGGAGGAAGCAGACATACACTTTGTGCGAGCCTGCGCAGTCGAAATGCACTTCAACATGTCACAAGAGCCGCACCATACGGAAATTTACAGGTAACACGCCGCAGACCAGAGTGAGGAGCACCCAGATCAGGCACCTGCCTTTACACCTAGCGAAAGAACCCCTCAGTGTGGACAAACTGTTTGGGGAATCAAAAGACAGACTGCAACTGCCTGCAAGCGTGTCACTTCTGGACTTCTGGACCTGTCGCTGGCCCGGGCACACGGGCACCCGGGCACAACCCGATCCACGGGCACACGGGCACACGGGCACAGGGGCACACGGGCACAACCCCGATCCAAGGGCACACGGGCACACGGGCACACGGGCAAGGACCACCAGAGGACCTTGCTCCAACTTTGTCACACGCTCTCTTTCACACACAACTTTCACACGCGCGCCATCTTTCACACACAACTTTGTCACACAAACCATGTTTCTTTGTCACACACCATGTTTCACACACCCTTTTGTCACACACACAACTTTGTTTTACTTCTCGATCCTCCACCACCTCCTTTGTCTTTCCTTCCTTCCCCGTCCCCGCTACAACATTTGGTGCTCATTATTTTTTCAAAATTGGATTTGGGAATTCACAGAGATGCAGTGGTGATCAGTGGCGCATGTTCTGCTGCAACGATCCGGGGCTGCGCTTTACACAGTGCCATACTGACGTCTCCAGAGAGGGTTCTTGCAGGCACCGGCACCACCTTCAGAGGCCAGGCCTTGAGGTCCATATATGGTCCATATGGTTATGATATGTTTGATAGCATTGTTAATATGTTTGATATTTGTGAAACATTGTGCAAAAGATAGCAAAAACAACAAATAACAACAAGGCAACAAATAGCAACAACAGCAAAAACAACGACAGCAACAATGGCAACACCTGCACCACCGACACCAAGGAACTTTTAGAATCTGTTAGATAGTTTGAATAGGACTCGAATACTTTGAGATCGATTTGAAAGCGAATGACTTGAGAACCTGCTTACAGTCTCTGACCGTCGCAGCATTTTGCAGCGTGTTATGTTGTCCTGCGCAAGGCACACCGAGAGCTTGCAGCACTCTGTGTGAGTAAGGGCTATGTGCTTCGCTTCGATGGGTGCCGAACTGCAGAGTTCATGCGGCGTGCCGAACACGGTACTGATTTTGAATGATGTTGAGTCCTGGTCAAAAATACATACAGTAGGTGATTTCTTCTGTGGACTCTTTGAATTGATTTTGCGGGAGGTTCGAATCCCTGCCGAGTGGCTTTCGCTGCGTGTTTCGAGTGGAGTCCATCTGACCTGCATTGAATTGGGAATCACTGGGATACACTGGGCACATTTGAAAAAATCGGGGCACGTTGGACACAGATGCTTTGCATTGCTCTGCTCGATCTTGTTTGGTCGTAATTATGTCTGCTGGATTCTGTAGCGGGCACATCTCTCAGGTTCCGGCGAAATGGCCAAGCTGTCTCCGAGGCATTTGAACAGCAAGACAAACCCGAAGTTCTAGTTCTAGCATGTTCTAGCATGTTCTAGCCTGCTGTTTGACTGACTAGTTTCAACTTTCTTCTAAAGTACCCATAACATCAAAACATCATAACAGCTCATTTGTAATATTTGCATCAGACTGTTGATCTCACTCGCAAATTTGTGCATTTTTCCAAGTGCAAACATGCCCAGAGCTTTCTAGGCTTGCAGGTGCCTGTAGTGTTTTTTGATCTTGGATTTGTTGGATTCGTGGCAGCAATCTGACAGTGGACTAGTTGGAGATATTTGGAGATGCAGTATTTCAAGATATTTCAAGATATTTCAAGATATTTCAAGATATTTCAAGATATTTCAAGATATTTCAAGATATTTCAAGATATTTCAAGATATTTCAAGATATTTCAAGATATTTCAAGATATTTCAAGATATTTCAAGATATTTCAAGTGTGGTTTTGCGACATCTCATGACAAGGTTTTCCGCTCAAAGAGCCTTCAGCTCAGTGGCAGAAAAGTCACGTGTCGAAGGAAGTCGAAGCTGCTATCCGTGACCTTGGGCCAGGGGTTCTAGTGTTTCTAGTGACTCCCACAAGATACACATCAAAGAAGTGCTGACATAGATGGATCATGATGGATTAGATTTAAGCTATTCCTTGACCCCCTTTAGGAACTGTGTACTCGAATGTATTTGATATCACAGGCAAACAATGTCAAACAAAATTCATCAGAATTCCATACCAGACATTTTCCTTCAGCTTGATAGACCTTGGCCCTGTGGTGAAGCCCTGTGGCCTTGTGGAGCTTAGGAGTTCACGCCGCAATTCGGGCTGCCCAAAATGATGCAGCTGCAGAGGCGCCAAATCATCCTGGACGTCTTAGCTATCAGCGAAGCACATCAACGCACCGAAAAATGCCAGTCGCATCGAATAGCGTCTATTCTGTCTATCCTAGTATAATCGCATTGAATCACATGCCATGAGCCGACTAAGCCTAGAGCCTGCAGTGGTGAAGGCCTTGTTGCGGCTTCGGGAAGTCGACCAGGCACAAGTTCAGTCGACTGCCGTCCTCGGCTTTTTGTTTTGGTAGAAAGTGCCAAAGCACAATGGCCTCTGGGGACCAGATGTCATGCAAAGGTACGAGAAAAAACATTTCCAAGTCCTTTGTTTGGATACGTCGTTGTTTGGATGCTTATCAGTGATATCGCCGACTTGTTTCTTTGTTTTTTGGTTTGACAAATTTAATTCTTATCAGACGTTTTGAGGTTGAATCTTCATGCTTTCCAAGTTTTGGGCTGTTCCTTTTCTATTCCCACTTTCTCAGATAGTGTTGAATCAGATTCCTTTGCGTGGGTGTAAAGAGGAGGAAGGGCAAGAATTACCTGGATTCTGCATCCAGAGGCACTTCAAAGAGGAACCGCCGCTGAGACAGAAGTGCCAAACGAGGGCACAGACCCAAGAGACCTTAAAAATTGAAACTTGTGATGGTCAGCGCATTGGTATGGCACGTGCGAAAATGCAAAGTTGCGCCTTGAATGCCTTGGCATTGATTGGTGCTTTATCAAAGCATGGCTTGTTACAGTAGCAGTATGTTGCAGTGCCTTCACCTTTGTAATTATCCATGATCTTGCTTGCTTGGATCTTATCTTTATGGCTTTGCTCTCTGCACCGCAGCCAAGTTTAGTCCCTTTGAATAACTTTGAATATCTTTGAATATCATGGATCGCCACGCAGGCAATGCAAGGACTGCTTCCAAGAAAGTGGTTGCGGGGTAAAGTACTGTAGTTGTGAATTATGTCTCTCGCAATTCCCCGGGACCAACCCAAGTGGAACACGATTGAACAGGTTCTTTCGGGGTCCTGCCATTCCGAGCATTGCAAGCTCTGGAATTAGTGAAGACATGTAAAAACTGGGTGATCGAGGTAGTCTGGGAGCGAGCTGGTCGCGAACGTAGTCAATGAATGTCAATGAGTCAACAATATGGGCATATATGGGCCAATTTCCAACAAGTTCCAAAGATGGATCCAAAATGATCCAAGAATCTTCAAGAACCATTGAAAATAAAAAACCAACAGGTCCAACGGTCCAAACGGTCCAACATCCTCAGCTTCCAATCCCTTGGAGGTGAGCTTACAACGATGCGTGTCCAGGGTCTCATCGGAAACTCCCAGGCGTACCAAGTTGCTTCGTGGTGTGAGGGGAAAGCTAAAGATAACGCAATCAAAAATGTACAGCGCCCTTTTCAAAGATAAGGAACACACAATATTTGATTTTATTTGATAATTCAACTTTATAATCTTGGACTACTCATACATATTTAATATGTGTGAACAAGTAATTACACTTATAGCTAATATTACCAATATATTTATGATTCTTAATATATATATATTCACAATGTATGTATATAATGTATATATATATATATTCACATATATATATATTTATTTATACATATACACACGAGAATTAGGGAAATTTCTTAGGGTCAGGTAATCGCAAGGTTTTCTGGGAGAAATCCAGCGGAGGTGAATCGACGGTCTGTTCCAGCTCTAAACCGCACCTCGCAGGCACTGAAAACCTGACATGCATTGAATGCATCGACATGCAGTTTTATATAGTTATATATATATATATGTTATATAATATTATATAGATAATTTGTAAATATGAATAATACTGTACTGTATATGTTAATATACATATCTTCTCCATATGTTTCCATCCTTTCATACTTTTCATGCTGTCTGGTTTTTAAAAACAGAGACACGTTGCCGGAGCCGTTGCCGCGCATTCGGTGAGGAGATGATCTTTTCTCGCCCAGCAACCCACAGGTGCGGGTGTACCCGGGTACACCCGGTACACCGGGTACATGAGCTGATCGAAGTTTTATATACAATTCACTGTACATGAATTGGTACATGAACCAATTGACCAATTCACTGCGGTCGCATCAACTCGGAGGCAGCTTGGCAAGACAACACAGGCCCCTTTATTCCATTCGTTTCATTTTTGGCCCTTTGATGTTCCTTGTTCTTTGATGTTGTGAGGCATTTTGCTTCGTTTGCTCCACATGATTCATTTCTTATTCGCCCTTGAAGCTGTTTGTCTTGAGCTTGGAACACACAGGACCATGAAGTTCTTCTGATTCACGTCCCTTCACAATCACTCACAACCATGTCTGATGGAACATACTGATTCAGATGCTATTTTGTCTCTAGTAACCATGGAGACTGATCTGATCACAAAGCAACATCCTGAAAGCCAAGCGCAAGGAAGAGTTGGGCACAAACAAAACCAGCCATAGATCAGCAGAGATTAGACATATGAAATTTCCAAGCCAACTGCATTTTACCCAAAGCCAACAAGATACAGTGCATTGGAAAATTACAGCGACCATGAAGGGAAGGCGATGGTGCTTGTGGAGAGGGAGCTGTGAAGGT